GTTTTTATTATTTGCATATATTGTTGCAGCTGTCGTAAATCTGTCTCTTATACACATCTTTTCAAAATTTGTTTGCCACATAAGAAATATGTATAAATTGGTGCAAATTTTTTTAAAAATTACTATTTTTCATTAATTTATATTATTTATTATACAATTTCTTCATGTGTGGAAATATATGAAACAATATATTTGCGATTAAAGTGATGCATTTGCAACAGATTTGCAAAAACAAGATTGGAGAGCGACTATCTTGATTTCCTTTATTATTTATTATTTCTCTATCAATATTTGTGACTTTTATAAAACTCTACATCTTTTGATGTGTTTTACATATCATTTTTATGAAGAGTGGTAAATGAATTTGTGGGTTATATAGAAGCTTCTACATAATTGCGGCAGAAAAAAAACGATTTGTTCAAAACTAGCTTTTTTATACCCCGAACAGTATATATTAAATTTGTCAGGATGTTTTTAATACAGAAGCAAACATCGGCAAGCCTATAAAATATATGTATATATAAAGCATCATAAATATCTGCTCGTCTGTGTAGACGCGATCTAGTATAGTATATCAGTTTTTGAGATATCGGTCTATAATTTTACTTACTTCCGTTTTTACTCAATAGGCTACTCATTTGTCGCAGTCATCGTTATCGGATCACTATAGCATATAGCTGTCATACCAACCGAGCGATTAAAATCAAATCCCTTTAAGGAAAAGTTTTTTATTTGAGCAGATATTTTCACAAAAGTTAGCATAGCGTATTGTTATAAACAGCACTACAAYCTTYCAAGAAATTTTTCAGATCGGATCACTATAACATATAGCTGCCATACRAACTAAAAGYTCAAAATCACGTTCTTGTATGGAAACTTTTTGATGCTAGCTTCATTACAAACGAAAACAATGTTTTTTGCAATTCAATAACTACAACAACTTTTCTCACTTTTTTGTCAGCACTATTGGAGTTATGGAAAAAAACGYAAAACCACAAATTAGCTAGCCGCCAAGTGCTACCTGACGTGTTGTGAAAAATAAATATGATCACTTGATTTTGATTTTCGCACATTGAAATTAAAACACAATTTTAATATTAAGAAGTTGCGGCAAATTTCTGGCCAAAGCACTCTATTTCACACTTTTTTTCACGGCATAATTTTTTATTGCAACTTCTGCACTTTTCATCAAATTCAAATAAAAAAGAATAAAAATTATAAAGAAAATTTTTGACCGCACAACAATGAACTACAAAAAAATCATAAAAAAAAAGTTGTAAAAAAGTAATAAAATATATATCTGTTCCGTTTCAGCACCAAATCAGCGGTTGCTAATGAATACATCGTTGGCGGGGGAGCAGCATTGCCTGCAACAASAAACGCTAACGAGTACCGGTTTAAAGCATATCAGAACGCATATTTTGTTACCACATAAAATTAACAAGCTCATTGTTGCACCACATTGAAATGCCAGCAAAGAAGAGCAGCATTTATTTTTTTTACTTTTCTATTAATTTTGGTTTATTTTATTTTATTTTCTTTTTTTTTTTGTGCACGAAACGCGCTAATTTCTTAGGCAAACAACTCTATACTACACTACAATAGAGGACTTTAGCAGCTAGGCGTTAATAAGACAACAAAAAAATTAAATAAATAAGAGGATTTGAGAAAAATACACGTGAATTTAAGAAAATGCACTAAAAAGCTGGAAAACGTCCGAGTCCGAAATTTGAATATGAAAAGGTTTGTGAAGGCAACAAGTGCTTTTGAATTTATGCGCCACATACATATAGTTTTTTTCCAAACTGCATATGCAAATCCGTTTGACGCTTATATGCTGGATTTCGTACGAAAATTTATTAGTTCACATTTCAAAAAGTTATTGGAAAATTTTCCGATCACGTTTTGCTGCAAGGCGCGTAGGCATAAAGGCAAACAAAAGGAATTATTTTGCATACRGCCAACAGCTGGGCGGCATGAAGCTGTGAGGGGCACATAAATACACCGCCGCCATTTTGCACATCACTGCTAATTTATTAACAGTTTTAAATGTTAATTTGCGCCAACTTCGACTTTKTTGYACGTCACATTTAATCGCATAATGAGAWGAGCGCAGTTTGTATGGTTTTTTGGTTGAGTTAAAAAAAATTTAAAAAATAAACAAATAATACTAAAATGTTGGGATTTAAGCAAATTAAAATAATAATATTTTTTTATTAGTACATTATTTAAAAAAAAAAACGAAAAAATTAAGAACATCCAGTATTCTTCAACTAATATGCTGCTAGAAATCTAAGCAAAAATTAATTTTTATTTTCCTCAATATATTTTAATTAACAAAAAGTGTAATTAGCAACCAAAATAATCGGTTAGCATGAAAATGTTCGCCTCAGCTGTGACTAACGGCGCTTTTTTTTGCTTATTTCTTAATTTAACTTTCTTTAATAACACTGCATTCATCAAACATTTTAGCTTTATTGGGCAGCTATATGCTACAGAGACGAGTATATAATGAAAGTATATGTATATAATAGATAGTGCAGACAGCGGTGCGAACTTTCTTCAGCACCTCAACWTGGCAACTGTCAATGCGCGCATTATCAACTGTCATGCCGCGCGCTGCGAAAAGCAAGTGGAATTAGCAAGCTAAGGCAGATGATAAGCTGCCCAGACCAGGCAGACAGCGTGATCAGGAGCAATACACATATACATATGGGCATTTGTATGTACGTGCGAAGGTGTGCAAATGCAAGCCAATGATAAATATTATTGAAAAGCAACATTTTACGTGCCTAAAAAGCGCCTCTGACATTTGCTGATCAGTTAGTGCGCAATTTTTTTTTTAACACTTTTGCCATTATCTTTGATTTTGACTAAATATATTAAAATTAGTAAATTCATAGCTACACACGCGCATATACACATTTGCCAAAGTATGAAGCCATTTAAAGCCACTCACTCAATCACTTAACAGCGCTGTGCAAATATTAGCAAAGCATTTAATTTTTTTTTCATTGAGCACTTTTTTAACAATCGAAAACTCGGTTAACGTGATGCAAATGATGACGTTAATATTTTTTGTAACACATGAATTTGCGCTAAATATTTTGGCATAGTTTGGGGAAAAGTGCAAATCACTGTTTATGTAGCTATGGATAAACGGACGGACGGACGGACGGACGGACGGACGCTTGAGCTGGTTAAAGTTTTTAGTACAAATATTTTAAGAAGCTGGTGCATTAAAAATGTAAATTTTTTGCGAAAAAGATTATGAAAACTATTTCAGAAAATTTATGGAGAATAAAATKTTTGAGAAATAAAAATATGGAAACTATTTTGGCAAATTTATGTAATTTGTTACTGTGACATTTTGTAAAAGAAGTTTGAAATCCTTTTTTCAACATTTTTCTAAAAAATATTTAGAACACATTTTCAAAATTTTTGTGTGAAAACAATTTAAACACAATTTTTTGGTAAAAAATCTGAAAAAAAACATATTTAAAGTTGCTTGTAGTAAATTTTCCTATTTGGGCACATGTTTATCTTTTCGAGAATAATTTCAAAATTTAAAAATTTTTCTTTATTCAATTTTTATTAAACGCATTTTTATCTTCTCGAGCATAATTAATTAAAAATGTTAAAACAAATTTTCAAAATTTTTTCTGTATTAAATTTTCATATTTGAATGCAGGTTTTTCCTTTCAAGAATAATTAGTTAAAAATGTTAAAAACACATAATCAACATTTTGTAATAAAAAACTTTAAAGCACATTTTCTAAAATTTTGTAAAAAAAAAAATTGAAATTAATTTTCAAATTTTTCTGCATTAAATTGTCATATGTATATTAATTAATTATTTTTTAATTTCTTGAGCGTAATTACTTCAAGCGCCGCCATTTTGCACATTTTACAGAACTCACTTTAAAAATCTGATAAATTTAGTAATGAATATACAACACATTTTAGCTACGATTACATCGTAAAACAATTATTCATGCATTTACAATGCAATTTTTGTGTTTTTGCTTTAATTTTTTATATTTTTGAAAATGATTTTTCAACCATATTTAGTATCAAGAGAATTATGATAAACAAATGCTCCTTCTCCATCTCAACTAAATTGTGAAAAAAAATTATTTTCCGCTACTCAACCAAAATATGCACACAACTAAACGAATAATGGTAAATTCATTAAATTCTCAACATCATACAAAATTACCGCCGCTAGGTGGCAGCGACACTGCACAGAAAAGCAACTGCAGCCYGACTTCAAACACCAAATCCTGACACTTATGTCTAATTTCTATCCTTTTAATAACTAAATAAACTACCTGTAATTAACACAATTTTTACTTACCCTAGGTTGAGCCATTAATGCTCTAGGAGCGATGTCCAGCCCGACCTGTGCCACTTTTGCAAGCAGCACGCGCTATGCAACGTTTGCCGAGTTGTTTCCCTTTGGTTGCAGTTGCTGTTGCGGGCTTTTCTTGATGTGGTGGCCGACTCGCAAGTCCACTAATTGGCGCTGCTAACTGTAGTTTATGAAAATTGTATTTTGTTATTTTGTCTTGTTTCAAGTTTTATTGCAAAACTACGGCACACAACACTCTCGACTCAATTTGCAAGCGTTTCATGCAAATTTTTTTTGGTTCACACTGCTGTTTTCTTTTCTTTCTAATTTTGAGAATACTTTGYAATTTTACTGCAACACAGGCACATTTGTTTGCAATTTATTTTTGTTTCGTGGGTGGTTTGGAGATAACTCGAACGACACACGCGACGGTAAAACGCGACGGAACGTACATACATATATTGGAGTTTTGTTGCAAGTAAAATATTATTTAGGTTTTAATAATTTTATTTTAAATATGCTGGGTGCACTTTTTATATATTTTTTTATATTTGTATTGTAGTTGATTGTTGTGTATAACTGTTTTTGTTTTTTGTTTTATTTTTTGTTTTTGTGTTGTATTTTTTGTTTTTGTTATTTTGCTAATTTTGCCGTTTGAGGAGTTTCTGCTCTTTCTCGAATGTTGTTATTGTTGTTGTTGTTTATAATTAATTTTAATTTGTAATTAATTAAATTTGCTTTAAAATCGTATACAATGCTTGTATATTGTTTTGTATTTGCAATAAATATTCCTTTACATTTAATTTTATCAATTAATATTTAGTTTTGTTGGTTTAGCGCTTAGTGCTCGTATATAATTTTGCGTTTTAGTATACTTGATTGCTTCGGGATTGGTTTTTGTTGTTGGTTGCTTGCTTCTTGCTTTCCTGCTCAGCGGCTTGACATTTGACTTCAGCGCAAATCTCTGGCRTACCTTTTTGCCTGCTTATTATGGTTTTTATTATTTGCATATATTGTTGCAGCTGTCATAAATACATTTTAGCGCTAGCTGCTTGTTTTAGTTGTTATTGTTGTTTGTTGCTTGCTTTACTGGCCTGTCAATACCGCCTAAGATTTTTTTATTTCCTTTCTTTTTTTTTTTGTGTAACACTCGTTGTTTTTGTTGCAGTTGCTCGTATACAAAGTTTCCGTGGAAAAGTTAAGTTGCTTTTGTGTTGTAGGTAAAATTTTTAACGCCTTTCTTTGTTGTTGTTGTTTRCTTGCTTTTAGAAAATTCCTCTAGTACATCGGTGGCGTGCTTGCCACGCCCTCCTTAGTAGTAGTTGTTGTTAGCGTGTATATGCTCACAAATATCACAGCTTCATCGACATCGTACGCTCGCTCGAGTTGCAAGTCAATAGCTTTGTAGGAATTTGCTTGCTTCCTCTAACAATTCTAAACTGCTACTTCTTAACTTGCTTTTATTATTTTTATGTAAAATAATTGGTTGTGTTTTGTTGTTGTTATTTTGCTACAGAAAACGCATAAGCAAATTATATTATTGTAAATTTCACGCAATGCGCTGCACTATGAATGGTCAGTTTTGCTGTTTTTCACGATTTCTCACCGACGACTGCGACGTACACGACATGCAACACGTTTATCACACTTTAATTACCGACGCGTTTCACTAACTGACATGGCGGCTGGAAGTGCTAAAGGCGCTTACAAAAAACTTATGTTTTCTTCACACAACAAAAACAAAAATATTTTTTTGTCCAAGCAGCGATTGGATGAATTCGCAAATGAATGTAAGCTAATAAATAACTGTTTATGGCAAATTAAAAGTTTCACACACAAATCAAATGTAAGCACATTTCTCAGACAGGCTAATATTGTTTTCTTATTTTCTTCTTTTTTCTGTATTACACGCTTAAGCTTATTGTATTTGTAATGTACTTTTCGCGCATAACTTTAAATTTCMGATTTTTGCGCGAAATCCTTACAATTTCGTATCTAATTTGTTTAAGCTTTAATTTGCGTTTTGTATTCCATTCGCGCGTAGAGTGGCAGCAGCAACTAGCAAATGATTTGTTTTCTGCGGCTAAGTTGTCTGCTCTCGACTGGCTTGCTTGGCGGCTTGCCTGTTTAACTCGGCGCGACCTGCTGCTGCACTCATGAAAATCGACTGAAGAAAACACACGCTAACTGCAGCACAAGGCGCACTTCTTAGAACGCGCACCTACACGCCGCCRACTAACTGACTGCGGCTGACGAAATGGCGACTGTCCGTCCGGCCGTGCGTCTTATGAGCGCCCGCTGCGTCGAAATCCTGTCGTTCTTGCAAAAGTCCTGCTAATGCATGCCAAACGCTCCACTAGCGACGGCAATGCAGCAGCGTTCAATTTGCGGCGTTCGATGCACTTTTAGGCGCGCGCAACTGCCACACACTTGTAAATTATTTTATTTGATGCGATGTAGCAGAAATATGCAAAATATTTTGCAAAAATTGTTTTAGCTTTTTTTTTTTTTAATATAAACCGTTATCTTTGTAAAGTTGAACGAAATGTACGAATTTATGCCGCGTGTTTGTTGCAATTTTTCAAAACTATTTATTTATTTACCGTTAAATCGCGTTACACGTTACCGTTGCGGAGTGTGCAATTGTAAAGTAGAGAATTTTCGTATTGTTATTGTTGCGATTTTTTGTTTGGGCACACAAAATGAATTGGAAATTTACGCTTATTATATTTCGCTTTCTACACAGCACACGTTGTACGCGTTTCGAAGGCAAACACACACTGGGCTTGTCAATCACAACGGCAACTACACTTGGCGGGGGTAAATAATAGCCGCTGCCGACGACACTCCGATAGGCAGATAAACACACACACTCGCACACAAGCACAAACAACGAGCACAACGCGCTCGCACTCAGCGCTATGAAGTATATCAAACTAGCGGCAGCGGTGCAGCAACAACTACAACACTAGCTTGCGAAATGTGTGTACGAGTCAAGCGCACCACAGCAACACAACGGCACTGTAGCACATGAACAGCAACAACAACAACATACAGTCAACCAGCCAAGCGTACGCAGCAGATGGATGGATGGCTAGATGGATGACTCGACASTGTAGGAAAGAAAGAACGGCCGTAGCGCTGTTAACGGATAGCGCGTTTCAAGTGCAAGCAGGCGCAATGCGAGTAGAGCAACAATTGTGCCATTAAAATGGTGCGAAAGAGTGCGCGCTAGGCGCAAGGTGCGCGTGTGTGAATGCGACAGCATGCGTGGCGGTGGTAGTTGTTTAAGAAGCTACGAAGAAGAAGAAGAAAAAAGAGTAGCAAGCATGTAGCGGCCGCTTTGTAAGGTAAACAGTCGTCATATCAGTGGAAATAGCAGCGGTGGAGAGGCATTGAATGATTGAAAATGTAGTGCGCTCATGTGCGGCAGCGAAGAGCATGGTTGGGAGCGAGTGCTCGTAAAGCAAAATGCGGCGAAGAGCATGAGGTAATCAAGCAAAACGCACATAACTACACGTGAGGAAAATGGCAAACTAAAGAGTGTAAGTAAATTAAGATCTACAGCGAATTCGCCGCGTCTTAAAGCAAGCGGCGAATTTATCTAGCCATCAATAATACTGAAAAACTGCATTGGTGTTGAAAGAGCGCAAGCCACACGGTTTTATATGCTTTCGTGAGCGCGTTCGCTGCAGCGGCGAAGCGCTCATAAAAGTAGGAATGACTGATTTGTTAGTACGCCTCTTGTGACATGCCCACAAGTGAAAAGGTAAAGCAAAAGCAAAATATACGATATTGGCGCTCACTTGTCACACACCAAACACACTTAATTGTTGTTGTCCGTTGTTGTTATATGAATACGCATCCCCACAATATTTCGCTTATTTGTGAAACGTTCTGCGCGCTCCAGTGCGAATTGTTTATGGAAGCTCTTATTTTCGGACATACATTACTCGAGCTTCTCTCAAGCACTTGAGTCGTAATCTTGCTACCTCTACTCAATACATATTAACATATGTACACATCTTGAACTTGCTACATTTCTGCTCCATCATCTGTTGTTGCTTCTTGACTGTAGTGCAGCCACTGGTGCCGCCTTCACCTTTCATGCGCCCTTCATTATGCGAAGAGCGCTCGTCAGCACATCGCCCCAAAAGCAAGCGGGAGTGATAACAGCGTACAGGTTGGGCTGCCCGCTGACTGTAGCGCTGTTTTGAGTAGAAATACAACTTAGCTCCATCGCCGCCTTGTTGTTGCTGCTTTTGTCTGTCAACCCCGCACAACAACGCATTGACATCGTCGCATTTCGCGCAAACATTTGAAATTTATTTGGCTTTAGCTGAAATGAGATGGCTTATATCATGTTGATGAAATACTGTTATATATCTGTGGGTGTTTGTATGTACCTCCCCTACCCCCACACATGCTTGGTGCGGCGCGCACGCATTGCTCTATCGCTCTTTGCCAACTWTGACTCTTACTTGCCGTGCGTCACTCTTCTTTGGCCTACCTGCTTCAACCAACACCTCCCCCCACCCSCAAACTGCCCWATGTGTACTAACATTTCACACGCCGCGCGCGCCCYCGCTTTGAAAATCAGCAAAAACCAATCCCATTTGTTATATTCGCTTGAGTGAGTGGCAGTTTGCATCAGTTCGGTTTTCAGTCTTTTGGCCAACATCGTTGTCGACTTGTTCTTTTTGTTGTTGCTGTTGTGCTTTTGTTGTTGCGTTGTTTTTGTTGCAATGTTGGCTGCTGTTCTGTGAGCTGTACGCTGAATGGTCGGTGGGTGGGTTTAACTATGCTCGCCGTGCTCACAACTGTTGTTGCACACTACTCTTATTATTATTATTGTTGTTGTTGCAATTGCTGTGTTGTTAGTCGAGCATGTCGCGTAGCATTTTCTGCTATTGTTGTTGCTCTACAATTCACTGCACACACGTCTATGTGCTGGTTGTATTCAGGTGTAAGCATTACACTCATCATTTTCATCAACACCATTGCTAGCTATGTTGTCAGCAACAACAATAAAATAACCAATACTCACTCGCTCACCGCAAGCCAGCCAGCCAGCAGCCGTGTAGTGCGGTTTGCGTTATTGCTCTCGCTAAATTCCGCTTCTTACGTGCATTTGCGCCTCTCCGCCGCTCAGTGGCGAACTTAAGGCCACTCACTATGGCCATTAATGGAGCGGCGAAAATGTGATGGATTATTTTGAAAAAAATAAATAAATAAATAAATAAATGCACATAAATAATAAATAGAGTAGCGCAATTTTTCAAAATTTCATTACTCACTTAAAGGACTTTTAAAGCGAGTTAATTGAGTCATTGCCTGGATATTAGCGAAATAATTGAAAGTTTTGAGGTTATGTGACTTATTTCGGAATAATTGCCAGATWTTTTTTGATTCGTGTATTAAATTAAATAGTTAAAACTTGAATTTATTATGGAATCTCCCTTTAAAATCTCTAAGCCAATATTTGTAAATATTCGTAAATATTTGAAAATCATAAAT